GAGAGGGAGGGAGAGAGGGAGAGAGATGGATAGAGGGAGGGTAAGAGAAAGAGAGAGAGAGATGGACAGAGAGGGAGGGAGGGTAAGAGAGAGAAGGAGGGTACGAGAGAGATGGACAGAGAGGGAGGGAGGGAGGGTAAGAGAGGGAGGGAGAGAGAGTCCTGCAGTAGAGACTATACGACTAGATGATAATGCTGCGACAGCGAAGGGTCTCCCTGCGCCCAGGCACCTCACGTCAGAGAGAAGGAGAGAGAGAAAGTAGGAAAGAAAGGGAAGAACGGAGGAGGGGTAGAGGGAGAGAGAGGGAGGGAGAGGGACAGAGGAGGGTGAGAGACCGAGAGAGTAGGAAAGAAAGGGAGGGGCAGAGGGGGAGAGGGAGAGAGAGTAGGAAAAAAGGGATGGACAGAGAGTGAGTGGCAGAGAGGGAGGGAGAGGGGATGGAGTGCGTGAGGGAGGGAAAGTGGGAGGGAGGGAGGGTGACAGAGTCCTGCAGTGGAGACTAAACGACTACATGATGACGGTAGTCACCTCGACAGCGAAGGGCCTGCCTTGTCCGAGGCACCTGACGTCGACGTCCTCGCGGCCCGCCGATATGAACTTCAGCCGGTGCTCCGCCTCCGCCGCCGACATGCTGCGACCAACACAAGAGAGAGGGAGGGAAGGACAGGAAGAAAGAGAGAGTGGGGAAGAGAGAGGCAGAGCGAGAATGGGAGAGGGAGGAAGAGGGACAAACAGAGAAAGAGGGAGAGATAGAGAGAGGGAGGAAGAGGGACAGAAAGAGGGAATGGGAGATGAAGAGAGGTAGAGAGAGAAAGGGAGGAAGAGGGACAGAAAGAGAGAGGGAGAGAGAGCGAGTGGGAGATGAAGAGAGAGAGGGGGAGAGGAAGAGTTCTGCAGTGGAGACTAAATGACCTGATGATAGTCACCTCGACAGCGAAGGGCCTTCCTTGTCCGAGGCACCGGACGTCGACGTCCTCGCGGCCCGCCGAGATGAACTTCAGCCGGTGCTCCGCCTCCGCCGCCGACATGCTGCGACAACAAGCGACACGTTATAACATACCAACACATGCGCGTACCACGATATACAGTGTGAGTCACGTTAAAGTGTACATATGAAACCTCGAACGATCATAGCAAATGTTGTGATAGGGATAGAGACATGCGATTTTTGGTTTTACAAAGCTAATACGATAGAGAATAATACAAGGTAATCAAACCACCTGTTATAGGGGCATTTTTTGGAGAAATTTATCAAATTACCAAAAAAACACGAATTTAAAAGCAGATTTTTTTCTAAAAGTATCATTTTTTATTATTTGTTGGCCTTTTTTGTGTATTTTACGTATTTTTTTAGTATCGTCTGTTATTTAGCATTATTACCGTTTTTATTTTATCAGGATATATCGCTTAGTTAAAAGTTATTACGTTTTCTTTACAATAAGTAATTGGAAGAAAAATAAAACTATAAAAAAATGTTGACCTCTTTTTTGTACATAAAAATAGGTCTAGTTTCATCTATTTTTATATGTACACTTTAACGTGACTCACACTGTATTATAGCCACGATAGCCGAACGGTGAAGGGGTCGGACTGGCCGACTCGAGATCCGAGGAACGCGGGTTCGAATCCCACCGCCGCTCGACTATTGTGGTGAGCCCACTCGTCGTAACACAAGCTTATTTAGCTTACCACGAGGGGCTAACGGGACTATTAGTAATTTGTGCAATACAAATTGCTAATAATCTTTTTAAAAAAATGAAAGAAGAAGAAAAATTAAAGAAGACATGCGCGTACCCAGGAAATGGAAACCCGCCTGGAAATATCGCAGAAGTATGTGCTAACTTTTGAATAAACCGCGTAGTAGCGCGGATTAACCCAGGGCATATTCTTAGGGCATACAAAAACTACATTGTACCGCAAAGAAAAAGGGTCGGTTAGAAAATCTTGTATATCTTCAAAAGTACTTGACCTACCTTAAACAAAATAAACTGGAAAAACTAAATTAAAAAGTTTCAATTAATATAGTCTTTTTCATAAAGCTAGATCAGGTTCTTCTGAAGATATAAGATTTTCTAACCGACCCCTTTTCGTTGCGGTCCAGTGTAGAGCTGTATTTTCCGAGAATTCCAGACACGTAAATCTCACAAGTCGTCTTTCAATGTGTAATAAATACGTTATTATTATTCATTTATTTCACTTTAATCTTAGTTTTACTATCTTTTTTTACACTTTCATTTATCTAACCAACTATCATAACAGCCTGCAGTAAACTCACCCGCACACCTTGGCCAGCGGTTCGAATATAATCTCCTGCACGGAAGACTCCATCATCCTTTCTCCCTGCACCAGCCATGGCGTTTGAGGCAGCTCGCGCGACAGCTTTATGTACCTTAGGGGAGTAGATATAAAGGTTAATTTTGATGATCTGCCTTCTTCTCTCTACTAAGGTTGGCTCCAACATTGGTCCCAATCCTAACGCCACTCGTCTAACGTGTGGATCCAGAAAACAGTATTGGCACCAAAGTTGTTCAAAGTCAAAGTCAAAATTTCTTTATTTGTTTAGACTAATAAATAGTTCTTACAAACTATACTGTTATTTTATTGATCCACTGTTGGGGCCAACGCATGCTGCCATAAACCAAACTTATTCCAAAGGTGATATTAGCTGTGACAAAAGTACCAGGGAAGCATGAATACTGAGGAGTTTTTGGTCTTGGCAAGCACCAATAGAAACAAAATAGTGCTATCTCTGTCTTTCCCTTGACACTTGCTAGTACAGAAAGGGACAAAAGACACTGAAGATAATATGATTTCTCAACGTACCCACCCAATCCAAATGTACCAGGACTGAAGAGTTCTTACCTGCCTGCACAAAATAAAAAATGCTTTCTCTGTCTACTCTTATGTACAGAAAGAGACAAAAGACACTGGCGACATGATGTATTCCTGGACGTGGATAATCTAAAAGTACCAGGGACTCATGACGACTGATCTTGACTGAGCTTGATCTTTCTCAACATGGTATGCTTGGATGTTCGCAAACGAAAAGTACCAGGGACCTATAAGTCCTAAAGAGCTCTCACCTGCCTCCCAAATACATGGGCGCCTTCGTACAAGTGACACAGACGCAGGCCGCCCTGGTATTGTCGCCCAACGGCGCCCCAACCGTGGCGCCCTCTTTAAAACCTACTCTTAAGTACAGAAAGAGACAAGACACTGGCAACATGACGTATATAATCCAAAAGTACCAAGGACTTATGACGACTGAAGAGCTTAATCTTACTTACTGACAACATGATGCATGCTTAAACGCTCGCACTCTAAAAGTACCAGGGACCTATAAGTTCTAAAGAGCTCTCACCTGCCTCCCAAATACATAGACGCCTTCGTGCAAGTAATAACACAGGTCGCCCCAATTTTGGCGCCCTCTTTAAACCCTGCTCTTTAGTACAGAAAGAGACAAAAGACACTGGCAACATGACGTATATAATCCAAAAGTACCAGGGACTCATGACTACTAAAGAGCTTAATCTTACTTGCTGAAAATATGATGCATGCTTGAATGTTCGCAATCTAAAAGTACCAGGGACCCATAAGTCTCAAAGAGCTCTCACCTGCCTCCCAAATACATGGGCGCCTTCGTACAGATAACACTGACGCAGGTCGCCCTGGTTTTGGCGCCCTTGACGGCGCCCTCTTCAAACCCTACTCTTAAGTACAGAAAGAGACAAAAGACACTGGCGACATGATGTATTCCTGGACGTGGATAATCTAAAAGTACCAGGGACTCATGACGACTGATCTTGACTGAGCTTGATCTTTCTCAATATGGTATGCTTGGACGTTCGCACTCTAAAAGTACCAGGGACCTATAAGTCTCAAAGAGCTCTCACCTGCCTCCCAAATACATAGGCGCCTTCGTGCAAGTGACACTGACACAGTTCGCCCTGGTTTTGGCGCCCTTGACGGCGCCCCAGCCTAGCGGCGCCAACGCAGCTAAAGTGGCGCCCTCTAAAGCCTGTTCGACGGAGCGCCGCGTGAATTCCACGGTGAAGCGCTTCCTCTGTCTACTTCTGGATTGGAAGAGCTCTGGCGAGAGTGGCTTGAGGATTTCTAGCTCCTGGAATGATTCACATAAATAAACTGTAGTGACTATAGTTAGACGTATAATCACGTAAATATTAAGCTTATATTAGAGATCTCATGGAGATTTTTTTATCCACAACGAGGAAGCTCTTGACCTGTATCTCACCTTTCAGTTTACTAGAAATAGGTCTTATTACTATTTCGTTCGTTCGTCAGCGAAATACGTCCACAACTGGACAAAGGTCTCCCCTAAGTATTTCCGCAACGATTGGATCCCCACTAGGTGGACCGACGATCTGGTCTGGAGGTGCCTGGATGCCGGCGGCGCAGCACTGGTCGTTGTGGAAATCCTCATTATTTAGTTACTAGCTGTGCCCCGCGGTGTTACCCGCGGTAAAACGTAGCCTATGTGTAGCGTATCCAGGGTGTCAGCTAACTCCATACCAAATATTAAAATCGCTCCAGCCGTTTACATGTGAAGAAGTAACAAAACATCAACACCACACAAACTTTCGCTTTTATAATATTAGTGTGGTCCATGAGAACTGAAGAGCTAAAGTGTTCAGAAGTTCGCAAGAGTTCTTCGCCTTTGGGACTGGATGGCGTTGTCTGAAATTGTTCAAAGATTGTCCTGCATTTATTTATGCAAGACAAGGCAGGTATTTGACCGCAATCGCACCTGGTGTTAAGTAAGATACAGTCTAGGATGGTACATATCTGCCCTGTAAGTGCCTATTCACACTCGCCTTGAAAAGTGCAGGAACATCGACGGGAAGAATGGACCTATGTCCACCCCTAAGACTAATTAAATNGTCGGTGCGCGTGCCGACGAGGCCGAGTGTGGCGAGGCTCGTCCGCGTCGGTCGCAGACCGACGTTCGCGATCGGGCCGTATCGAGCGCATAAGGCGCCCGATCAGTGGCGAACCCAACTAGAGGGTTGCCCACCGCGGTGTTGGACCAAAGTGCAGCCTACGGCGGGCTCAATCTAGTGGGCCCGATCGAGGGGGACTACGGACGCGGCCTGAGGGCGCCACGGTAGGCTCGGACCTCGGCTCAGGCCGTGTCCGGGGGACGGATAGGGGACCACGCGCTCCCGTTGATAGAAGGTGGCCTTTAAGACGCCCATCTAGCACGAGACCGCGTGGCAGTTTTGAATATACAGGGTGTTAGGTAAATGGGTATATGAGCCGACACTAGCCCATGTTAACATATGCATATAAATGGTATGGTGAAGTCAGAAAATTGACATCATCATTTTAATTTTTTAAATTTTCATACAAAATAAAATTTATAAAATCAGATTTGTATGAAAATTAAAATAATTAAAATGATGGTATGAATTTTCTGACCTCACCATACCATTTATATGCATATGTTAACATGGGTTAGTGTCGGCTCATATACCCATTTACCTAACACCCTGTATTTATTTAGTGCCGTGCTAATTTCTAGATTAATTGTTGCGTTTACCTGTATATCATCAGGGTACTCCATGTTTAGCACGAGTAACAAGGCTGAGACGGCGCCCGAGTCCAACGCAAGCCCTAGATGTCTGGCCAGCGCAGGCGCGTGACGCGCTTTCCACGCTTCTTTGATGCTTGTTACTGTGTCTACGAAAATAATAGATACAGTAGAATCCCGATTATTCGGATCAATTAAAACCAGGGGTGTTCCGGATAATCGAAAATCCGGATAATCGATTTAAAAGTAAAATCAAACAATAATTAACTTTTTACAATAGAAAGGGTTTTAATACATTATTTAAGACGATTTGATGAATCCATCTTCTTATAACAATGAACCAAGACGACGTCTGTACCGTGTTACGGTGGCGGTGCCTTGCCGTTTTGATAGGTCCAGACCTTAAATCGGCAATTAGAACCGTGAAAAATGAGTCCGGATAATCGGATATCCGGATAATCGAGATTCTACTGTAGTTAAAACGTTGACAAAGATCTTTGATTTGTAAACACTTTGACACACAATAGCTTTACATAAGGTCTGTAAAAACCTTTGTATACCAACCTTGGAGCAATAAAGAATTTGAATTTGAAGTGAATCAAAGTAAGGGACCTCCACACACGTTTTTCGAGCGTCATCTTACTAATGCCTACGCAACGTAAATACGGCGTTTGGCAGCCGCTAGTGTGGGGGGTCCCTAAGTAGCAGGGATGTTATGGATATCCGTAACCGTAACTTTCGGATATCCGAAATAAAAAATATCCGTAACCGTAACCGAAACCGGTATAATATTGTTCCATAACCGAAACTACATAATCCATAACATCCCTATCAAGTAGATACAAAAATTTTGAGTAGTGTTTTAAATAAGTTTGTTTCCTGAGTAAAAAAATTGTGTGCTATAACGATAAAAAAGCAAAGAGCTGAAAAGTGAACAATACTGATTTTAGGCTCTTGCTAGAAAACGCGCGACGTTCCAAAAATGAAATAAATAAATGATTAAATTCTTTTGAAAAGTTTAGTTGTTGTTTAATTAATAAAATTAAAGTATCCAATATCACATCCAAAAAATACTTGATTTGTGGTACTTACTTTCATCATATTCTGGGAACACCTCCTTGATGATCAGACACATGACCTTCTCTCGCAGCAAGAGACACATTGGTGAGGAGAGACCACACCCGAATGATTTGCTGTCGTACCTGGGTACACAAGGGAAAATTAAAAGAATTTTAGGATTATTATTTTTCAGGATGATCAAGTAAAAGGAAGGGGACATAATTATGGTCTGAAAGTTCTGTAACACATTTCTGATTAATTTTAGCTATTTAAACCGATGTCATAAAATTTTAATGATAATTGTGTTTTCTGGCCACTGTGATACAAGCATGTAGTGCAGAGACTGGTACACTAAAATAAAATTGTACATTTGTGATTTTGAAGAAATAAACACTTATTTACTTTTTTGTTTGTTTTCATGATGCCATTTCTGAGAAAATGAACCTTGATAGTCAGATTAGCATACAATGTTAATGTAAAAGTGAGGCATAACTAAAATTAAGTTCCTTTAATTATATTTAGGAGTGGAACCTTCAAAACTATCTAAATAAGTACTGTATTGTAATCTAACTTACTGTTTCTTATCCAGCACCTCTTTAACCGTTGCATTGCTTTCCGCCCACCCATCCTCTTCTAACAAGCCTAGGCACGTCCCACACACTGCGAGCTTGCGTCTCTTCGCTTGAGGAGAGCCCGTACCATTATTTACGTCTTCTCCGTTACCATTAGCAGCTTCAGTGACCATCTCAACGTCATTTTTATTCGATTCATCCTCAGCGTCCATCTCCACATCATTTTCGTGTTTTGTGACTCTTTGTGTAGATTTGTCGTCAGATTGACTTGTGACGGTGGCATCTGAAGATGAAGACAGTTGCTCGGTGTCTGGTTGCTTGTTTTGGTCGATTGTGGGTTTATCGTGAAACTGGAAGCAGATTTCATATTCAATTCAATAAAAATTTTATACATTTAAGGGGTTTTTCTTGGTTTATTACATTATAATCTTTGAAAGTCTATCACGAAAATATTCCATGTGATTTTTTAATATAAAGAAAATTATAACTGTAGTATTGTTACCTAAATCGCTTTGAAATTCATGAAAATCTGTATTTTAGGTTATGTATTTGTTTATGTAAATATTACAAATAATACACAACTTTTCCAAAAATATTTAGATAAAACGACTTCAACTATAGTACGAGAGCGCACGACCAAAACCATGTCTCATAGCAATACGGCAAAAACCCTATAAAATCGTTAGATTGTATGATTCTGAACCCGACTAGGTGTGTAGTAACGGTCGAAAGTGTAGCAACTGCGTTTCTGCTGTTTCAAAAAAAAAACGGATATCCGCGTTTAACGCTACGCAGCCTTCTCTAAAACGCATTAGAATCGCGACTAAATTTTGAAGCAAGTCAGGACCTGACAGAAGCATAGAGTTAAAGCTTATTCCCAGAAACTTAGCTGCAGCATCGTGAACAATCCTTAACTTACGCTTCTGGGGGTGAAAGACTCCGAAATGAGGCAAATACCAAGTGATGCCGCTTGGCGGCTTAGTACAAATTTCCGCGTAACCTTTATCTATAGTAGCCTGCATATTCAGACGGTAAGCTTCTGCGAACTCGGGTTCTTTTTGAAATTTCCGTTCCAGGCTCTTAAAACGCGACAAGGCTATCTCAAAATTATTTGGTACATCTTTTAAGTCATCTCGCCACAAAAGACCAGTTTCAAAGCGACCTCCGGGAAGACGCCGAGTTGTATTTTCCAAAATGTCCAAAGCGCGAGCCTGACTTTTAGTACGATAATCTTTTTTCTCAATTCCAATTGAGTCTAGCTTGTAATTTTCTTTTATCAGTGTCTCCACGGATTCGCTTTCGTCAAAATTGCAATGGTTAACAAATTCAACCGGTTTTGTTTTACTGGAAGAGAATCCATACAGAACCCAACCCAAAGGCGTACGAGTGGCAACCGGCTGACACCTAGAACCGTGACGTACTGCGAGCGGAACACTCAAGTGCCAGTTGTCAACTCCGATGATCAATGCGGGCTTTGCTTGTTCGTAACACAGCTCTTCCGTCAAATCACGTAAATAGTCAAAGCGCGAAATGTCATCCGCCGACACCGATTGACAATTGGTTAAATTTAATTTTGGCATGGCACGAACATTAGAAATATCGAAAGATTTTTGACCATGTTTACCTTTTATATTAATATTTACAAATGTGACTTCCGAACTTTTAGAAAGCCCACCTATACAATTTACCGTAATGTTCCCCTTAGGCCCCACAGCGCCGATGTCTTCAGCCACTTTTGAATCGATAATGGTAGCCGTTGAGCCATCATCGAGGAGAGCATATATGTCCGCCGAGCCCAGAGGGCCGCTGACCGACACAGGAATCACCTTGAGCAGCGGACGACGACCCGCTCCATCCACATGCTGCTGCGATGTTGTATGCGCGACCACCTCGACGTCGTCGGAGCTCGAGTCGTGTGCGACGTCGTTATTTTTAGGGTGTTCAGGAACAATGTCAACATTCGCCTCCAACGAAATGAGATTGTTATGNTTAGTGGGAGGCCTGCCTACGCTACGTCTTCCAGCTCGTGGTTGCCACTCAAGAACTTTCCTGCCCCAGTCGCCATCAGCTCTACGAGCTACGCCCACTAATTTTAGCGATTCTGCTGGCTATGTTAGTCACATTGGTTCTCCTGGTCTTTCATCCTCTCTTAGCGTAGTAGGAATCAATCTTCTACTTTTAACTTGAGGAGGGTAAGCGGAAACATGGCGATCAACTCCTCAGATAGGTACAAAGATGTCTAGAAGCAGCATATGAAAAGATGCAAAATGGGCCCTCTCAAATCACAATGGGAAGGTTTGGGAGCTTAGCGCCTAGAATGGCGGGAGATTGTGAAGAGGCGAGTCCGCGAGTTCAAAGTGCAGCGCACACCTGAACTCGACGCGAAACGCGATGATGCAAATCTCGTCCATCTGCCGCCATTCACTATAATTAATAATTATGTTGGCGGCGTGCTCAGATAGTCAGATACTCTCAATGTGCGAGGAGTTTGCCGCGAAGATCGGCTATGTAAGCTATCTTCGGGCGCACCAGCGCCGCCAAGACAGCTAAAGTCACTATGACCGAAATCGGTCGAAAGAATCATCATTATCAGTAGGAATCAAAGGCAGGCATAGCTGCAAGACTCGGATNAAATAATACTTCGATCATAGTATTTGTGAAGATATTTGCGAAAATCTGGGCTGTTCGCTGAAGCACGTTCTGCTTAGCCGCCCTCTGGCGAGAAAACCACGCAACCCCAATATTTAGAATGCTGTGTTAACCCAACAACATGAAATAATAAAAAATCTTTAAAATATTACATTTTGAAGCTCAGCATTTATTGTTGGGCGAATGTAAGTATTATGTACTTAAATAATTAACATTAACACACAAACCGCGATTACTCGTACAAATGTAGGTAATTACACAATACCTAAGAATTAACTTTTGATATGAAATAAATATTATTATCGAATACTTCAGTACTTCAATTTTATTGGAGTGAATACTGGTTTTGCAGAGAGCTTTTAAATTAATATATTTTTAGTCATAATTCTTTATTAATTCCATGAAAAGATTTATAGGAACAGGCTTTCAAAACAAAGCATCACCGATATGTTTCAATAAATAATTATGAAAACCAATACATAGTAAAGCACTATTGTTCAATATTTGAGTATTATTCAATTCGACACAATTCAAATATCAAATAATCCTCTTAGTGAAAAATATATTCATTTCAGTTAAGAGCTTTTAACAAAACTGTACAATATTTCTGCATGTTACTATCACCGGTGAAAAAAAATACTTTTGTACATAATTTAACATAAGGTCATTATCATTTATCGTAAGACTGACTAAGTAGCTAAGATATTGTCTAAAAATCATGTTGATAAACATACAGCTACTTATAGTATATTTCTTTGGCACTGATAACAAAATATTACTTTTGTTAGGTAAGTGATCACATAAACAACCTAAAAGGTCTGTGTTAATTACCGACCACTTAATTGTAAGCGATTCCACGAGTAGAGAATGTAGCGATTAGTTACCAATTGTGTATCGTGTTTCCTTCGTGTTAAATTCTCTGAACATACACACAATACATATGTGATGCACAGGTAGGGTTGCCAGGCGTCCGGCTTTTTACGGTCTTGTCCGGCCAAATATTGTGTTGTCCGGCCTGCCCGGCTTTTGTTAGGCTTTTTATTGGGCTGCCGCGCCAGGCGAAAGTCGAGCCACAGAATAATATATATGAAGCTCACGCATCAGGATGTAGTTAGCAACCGATGATGATAGTAGTCACACACGAGCTGACACTAGTGTTCCCGAGGCCTATAGGCTTTTAGGCTTTTTTTTAAGGCTAGCCTATGAATTAGGGGCTACAGCGGGAAAAAAGCCTAAAAAGTCTTTTAGGCCTTTAGGCTAGGCCTTTTTCATAGCCTTTTTTTTGTCCACCCGATTACTATAGGCTTTTAGCCTTTTTGTAGGCTAGGCGCATATTTAAAAGGCTTGAAAGGCTAAAAAACCTATAAAGGTTTTTAGTCCTTTAGGCTAGGTCTATTTTATTTATTTTTAACTGACTTCAAAAAAGGAAGAGGTTATATTCGACTGTGTGTATTTTTTTTCTATGTATGTTCACCGATTACTCCGTCAATTTTGTGGACCGATTTTCAAAATTCTTTTTTTGTTCGATAGGGTACACTTCTGAGGTGGTCCAATTGTCACCAAGTCAGGATCTGATGATGGGATCCTAGGGAAATCGAGGGCAACCCTCATATTTTATAGGCACGTATATCGTTTTTCAAACTTTTTAAGTTATTCAAGTATTCGCTCCTGGAAATCATCATCTCATATTGATGAGCTGATGATAGAAGGTAAAACTACTTAATGCTTAGGAGTTGGAGGATAATTCTTATAGGTACAATAAATTATAGGTACAATAAATTATAGGTACAAATAGACCAATAGTTGTATTCTTTCATGTTTTTAAGGTGGGCTGACGGTTTAAGGTCTTTTTAGGTTGCCGATAAAAAAATACATAAAAAAAGAAATTATATATTTTGGAAACAATGTATAACGTTTTTATATTTAATTTGAAAATAAATGCAATACAAAAATACTTGTTTAATTCATACTAAGCCATAACCTGAATAATGGCTATAGCCCTATAATAAGCCTACAACTTAAAAAAAGACTTTAGTCGGAAATAAAGCCTAAAAGGCTATTTAGGCCTATAGGTCTTTTTTTAAACCTATAGGCTTTTTATAATGAGTAGCCTTTTAAAAGCCTAGTAGTCTATCATGGCCAAAAAAAGAACTAAATAGGCTTAATTTTAGGCCTAAAAGCCTATAGGCCCCGGGAACACTAGCTGACACTAATAGCATGTTTACGTGGATATAGCTATAATTCTGACGTATAAGTACAATATTAAATTACATCAAAATTCACCGTCCTCACTAACGTTCGTGTTTACCATAAGTAAATACAATATAGATAAATATACGTCCATATTTGTAATTGTGTTGCGGGATTTTTTTAGAAAATACATAGGTGTTTAAAATTAGCTACAGATATACTACTTAATTGGAAAAAATCTCTAGTTCACACCGGATTTACACGTCATAATCTATTAGCCTCAAAGGCTCGAAGCGCACTGCATACAAACAACGTAATCAATAAAGCAGTACCTTTCCTTTGCTACGAGCTAACAAAGTCCGCGAACTGACTGTCTGTTATTGAAACGTTTAATCGCATTAAGTCCTTTATGTGGAAAAATGTGCATTCAGATGTAATCTGCTCAAATGCATTGTTTTTCCTAAAGGATCGGCCAAACCAACGCTTGCAGCCCACGAGCACGACTGCGATGGCGATCCTAC